GCTTCATTAAAATGATATTGCCAAAGGTACTGGTATTCGTCGTTTGCCCAAGTCAAGTGTGCCATCATCACTGTGGCTTGTAGTTGATGGAAATCCCAAACTGCGTGCATCTTCGACTTGAATCCAAATACCTTGGTGACAACACGCGCGAAATCTCCCAACCTGGGTTTCATCGTATTTATTCAACCAGATTTGATGTGCTGAATGCAATGCTCACCATAAATTTCTTCAATAGACTTGGTCATCGTTGGTTCAGCAACTGCAGGCACAACAACTACATGTTCAGCAGCTACTAGTTCAGCAATCACTGGTTCAGCAACTACTAGTTTAGCAATCACTGATTCAGCAACTACTGGCTGATACTTCGCGTGGTGTCGGCACCAATCGCCTTTTGAGCCGCACTGTTGGCTCGCCTTTGCGTGGTCTTCTGGGAAGATGTACTTGCACATTGTTATTTCTATATATTTATTTTTTATCGCTCAAGATAAACTCACTATTATTTAGTTTCTATATATTGAGGAGTATTTTTGTCAGAAATAAAATAATTATTTTAAAGTGATGTGATTGGCTAAAACTGAGCAGCAGCACTCTGAATGAGTGCTGCTGCTCAGTCGAGAACTTTCCGCACGAAGATGGCAGATGTCGAGTTGGAGTGCGCGGTATACGGCGAAGGGACTGTGTTTCCCGTGAAGATAGCGAGCAACGCGAAAGTGAGCGCGCTGCAGAAGGCCATGTGAACGAGAAGAAAGACGTCGATGATCGCTTCAAAGTTGATCCAGCCAGATTGACGCTCTACTTGGCGCGGAAGAAGGGGGAAGCCACGTGGATGAAGCACGACCACACGGTGAAAGGCTTCTTGTGAGGTGGCATCAGCACCGAGTATGAAGAGATGCTTTCGTCGTGAATTCTCGACGAAGATTGCGGTCGTGGTGATCATGTCAACACCATATTCACTCGAAGCTTTGCCCGCAACCGCAGAATTGGCATTACCAGTGGCGTGGAAAGTGACCGCGACTAGCACTGCAAGGATGCATGTGAGGCGCATTTTTTTGTCGTTTGGGTCAACAGCTAGGGCACTTGAGTCGAAATGAGAGAGTGCGAGCAGATTGCAGAATGAGGTGTCGGACGAAGACAGAGCCGTACTACGTGCTGGAGCACGAGGAAGTTCCACTTTGTACTGTTTTCTTCCAGTCTATACAAATAACGCTGGGATATAGCTACCGATCCAGTACATATTTCCAGACAGTTATTGAACAAAAAACCAGTACACTTAAGTTTGCAGCTAATAATGGTTTTTGTAGCCCTATTCACTTATAAAAACTAATGTCTAGTCACTATTAGAAAATTGTGTTTAATACACAAGAAGAGCAATTCAATTCGCAATTCAAAAGTGCGACAGCAGACCTCCTCCAGTCATCCTCTCCGAGTTGCTTTCTTAAAATGGATGGCCACCGCAGCATTCTTGCAGCGACATCAGTGGCAGCACTTTTCTCATGCGTAGTACTACTATAGAAGCACTGAGCTACCACATTGATTTAAATCAAAGTCACGATTGGGCTTGTTCTCGATCACTAGATACTTCTCCGCCCAATATTCAAGCTCATCGTTCTCAAATGACGTATCAACCATGGCTGAACGCATGTCATTAATTGTTCGACCAGTTAACTCCACCAGCTGAGTTAGTGTTGCCAACTTCCGCTCAGACTTGAATGTCAATTCGAAATCTTGATCAAGTGTAGAAAGCTCAAACGTCTTCGAAGTAGCTGTTTTCCATGGCTCCTTGACTTCATAGTCATCCTTCTATTGCTTGTATGCAGCAGAATCACAACCAGCAGCAATCCCTTTCAGTTTGCCTTCGTTCAGTGATGGATTATACTTGGAATCAAACCAACCATCAAATTCTTTGGTAGCATACTCCTTGTTGAAACGCTCTACTTTTTTGTTTGAGCACACAGAGATAGGTCTTGCGCACTAAATGCCAATCCGAATGAACTTGACAAGCAAAGAATCCAGCGAGATTCCACACGTTTTGGTTGTTGGAGAACAAATCGCCTCGAATCATCATGCACAATTGATACAATCGCTCATCGTAGGATTGAGCTGCAAGGAAGTATTCCACACCGCATTCAACGTTTGCTTGTTCAAATGATTCACGGTCTTCATTGGACTTAAAGAAGAAATTATCAAGCATCTGCGATTCATCCAGTTCATTAAATTGATATTGCAAAAGGTACGTGTATCCGTCGTTGCCAAAGTCAGGTGTGCCATCATCACTGTGCTTGTAGTTGATGGAATCCCCAACTGCGTGCATCTTCGACTTGATCCAATTACTTGGTGACAACACGCGCGAATCTCCCAGCCTGGGTTCATCGTATTTATCAACAGATTTGATGTGCTGAATGCAATGCTCACCATAAATTTCTTCAATAGACTTGGTCATCGTTGGTTCAGCAACTGCAGGCACAACAACTACAGGTTCAGCAGCTACTAGTTCAGCAATCACTGGTTCAGCAACTACTAGTTTAGCAATCACTGGTTCAGCAACTACTGGCTGATACTTCGCGTGGTGTCGGCACCAATCGCCTTTTGAGCCGCACTGTTGGCTCGCCTTTGCGTGGTCTTCTGGGAAGATGTACTTGCACATTGTTATTTCTATATATTTAATTTTATCGCTCAAGATGAACTCACTAATTTTTAGTTTCTATATATTGAGGAATATTTTTGTCAGAAATAAAAATAATTATTTTGAAGTGATGTGATTGGCTAAAACGGTGCGGTGTGCTGCGTGAATGAGTGCTGCTGCTCAGTCGAGAGCTTTCCGCACGAAGATGGCAGAGGTCGAGTTGGAGTGCGCGGTATACGGCGAAGGGACTGTGTTTCCCGTGAAGATAGCGAGCAATGCGAAAGTGAGCGCGCTGCAGAAGGCCATTGTGAACGAGAAGAAAGACGTCAATGATCGCTTCAAAGTTGATCCAGCCAGGTTGACGCTCTACTTGGCGCGGAAGAAGGGGGAAGCCACGTGGATGAAGCACGACCACACGGTTAAAGGCTTCTTGTGAGGTGGCATCAGCACCGAGTATGAAGAGATGCTTTCGTCGTGGATTCTCGACGAAAATTGCGGTCGTGGTGATCATGTCAACATCATATTCATTCGAAGCTTTGCCCGCAACCGCAGAATTGGCATTACCAGTGGCGTGGAAAGTGACCGCGACTAGCACTGCAAGGATGCATGTGAGGCGCATTTTTTTGTCGTTTGGGTCAACAGCTAGGGCACTTGAGTCGAAATGAGAGAGTGCGAGCAGATTGCAGAATGAGGTGTCGGACGAAGACAGAGCCGTACTACATGCTGGAGCACGAGGAAGTTCCGCTTTGTACTGTTTTCTTCCAGTCTGTACAAATAACGCTGGGATATAGCTACCGATCCAGTACATATTTCCAGACAGTTATTGAACAAAAAAACAGTACACTTAAGTTCGCAGCTAATAATGGTTTTTGTAGCCCTATTCACTTATAAAAACTAATGTCTAGTCACTATTAGAAAATTGTGTTTAATACACAAGAAGAGCAATTCAATTCGCAATTCAAAAGTGCGACAGCAGACCTCCTCCAGTCATCCTCTCCGAGTTGCTTTCTTAAAATGGATGGCCACCGCAGCATTCCACGTGCGACATCCGTGGCAGCACTTTTCTCATGCGTAGTACTTATCAAGTAGCACTGAGCTACCACATTGATTTAAATCAAAGTCACGATTGGGCTTGTTCTCGATCACTAGATACTTCTCCGCCCAATATTCAAGCTCATCGTTCTCAAATGACGTATCAACCATGGCTGAACGCATGTCATTAATTGTTCGACCAGTTAATTCCACCAGCTGAGTTAGTGTTGCCAACTTCCGCTCAGACTTGAATGTCAATTCGAAATCTTGATCAAGTGTAGAAAGCTCAAACGTCTTCGAAGTAGCTGTTTTCCCTGGCTCCTTGACTTCATAGTCATCCTTCTATTGCTTGTATGCAGCAGAATCACAACAAGCAGCAATCCCTTTCAGTTTGCCTTCGTTCAGTGATGGATTATACTTGGAATCAAACCAACCATCAAATTCTTTGGTAGCATACTCCTTGTTGAAACGCTCTACTTTTTTGTTTGAGCACACAGAGATAGGTCTTGCGCACTAAATGCCAATCAGAATGAGGTTGACGAGCAAAGAATCCAGCGAGATTCCACACGTTTTGGTTGTTGGAGAACAAATCGCCTCGAATCATCATGCACAATTGATACAAATGCTCATCGTAGGATTGAGCTGCAAGGAAGTATTCCACACCGCATTCAACGTTTGCTTGTTCAAATGATTCACGGTCTTCATTGGACTTAAAGAAGAAATTATCAAGCATCTGCGATTCATCCAGTTCATTAAATTGATATTGCAAAAGGTACGTGTATCCGTCGTTGCCAAAGTCAGGTGTGCCATCATCACTGTGCTTGTAGTTGATGGAATCCCCAACTGCGTGCATCTTCGACTTGATCCAATTACTTGGTGACAACACGCGCGAATCTCCCAACTTGGGTTCATCGTATTTATCAACAGATTTGATGTGCTGAATGCAATGCTCACCATAAATTTCTTCAATAGACTTGGTCATCGTTGGTTCAGCAACTGCAGGCACAACAGCTACAGATTCAGCAGCTACTAGTTCAGCAATCACTGGTTCAGCAACTATTAGTTTAGCAATCACTGGTTCAGCAACTACTGGCTGATACTTCGCGTGGTGTCGGCACCAATCGCCTTTTGAGCCGCACTGTTGGCTCGCCTTTGCGTGGTCTTCTGGGAAGATGTACTTGCACATTGTTATTTCTATATATTTATTTTTTATCGCTCAAGATGAACTCACTATTATTTAGTTTCTATATATTGAGGAGTATTTTTGTCAGAAATAAAAATATTATTTTAAAGTGATGTGATTGGCTAAAACGGTGCGGTGTGCTGCGTGAATGAGTGCTGCTGCTCAGTCGAGAACTTTCCGCACGAAGATGGCAGAGGTCGAGTTGGAGTGCGCGGTATACGGCGAAGGGACTGTGTTTCCCGTGAAGATAGCGAGCAACGCGAAAGTGAGCGCGCTGCAGAAGGCCATGTGAACGAGAAGAAAGACGTCGATGATCGCTTCAAAGTTGATCCAGCCAGATTGACGCTCTACTTGGCGCGGAAGAAGGGGGAAGCCCACGTGGATGAAGCACGACCACACGGTGAAAGGCTTCTTGTGAGGTGGCATCAGCACCGAGTATGAAGAGATGCTTTCGTCGTGGATTCTCGACGAAAATTGCGGTCGTGGTGATCATGTCAACACCATATTCATTCGAAGCCTTGCCCGCAACCGCAGAATTGGCATTACCAGTGGCGTGGAAAGTGACCGCGACTAGCACTGCAAGGATGCATGTGAGGCGCATTTTTTTGTCGTTTGGGTCAACAGCTAGGGCACTTGAGTCGAAATGAGAGAGTGCGAGCAGATTGCAGAATGAGGTGTCGGACGAAGACAGAGCCGTACTACGTGCTGGAGCACGAGGAAGTTCCACTTTGTACTGTTTTCTTCCAGTCTGTACAAATAACGATGGGATATAGCTACCGATCCAGTACATATTTCCAGACAGTTATTGAACAAAAAACCAGTACACTTAAGTTCGCAGCTAATAATGGTTTTTGTAGCCCTATTCACTTATAAAAACTAATGTCTAGTCACTATTAGAAAATTGTGTTTAATACACAAAAAGAGCAATTCAATTCGCAATTCAAAAGTGCGACAGCAGACCTCCTCCAGTCATCCTCTCCGAGTTGCTTTCTTAAAATGGATGGCCACCGCAGCATTCTTGCAGCGACATCAGTGGCAGCACTTTTCTCATGCGTAGTACTACTATAGTAGCACTGAGCTACCACATTGATTTAAATCAAAGTCACGATTGGGCTTGTTCTCGATCACTAGATACTTCTCCGCCCAATATTCAAGCTCATCGTTCTCAAATGACGTATCAACCATGGCTGAACGCATGTCATTAATTGTTCGACCAGTTAACTCCACCAGCTGAGTTAGTGTTGCCAACTTCCGCTCAGACTTGAATGTCAATTCGAAATCTTGATCAAGTGTAGAAAGCTCAACCTACTTCGAAGTAGCTGTTTTCCCTGGCTCCTTGACTTCATAGTCATCCTTCTATTGCTTGTATGCAGCAGAATCCACCACCAGCAGCAATCCCTTTCAGTTTGCCTTCTTTCAGTGATGGATTATACTTGGAATCAAACCAACCCATCAAATTCTTTGGTAGCATACTCCTTGTTGAAACGCTCTACTTTTTTGTTTGAGCACACAGAGATAGGTCTTGCGCACTAAATGCCAATCCGAATGAACTTGACAAGCAAAGAATCCAGCGAGATTCCACACGTTTTGGTTGTTGGAGAACAAATCGCCTCGAATCATCATGCACAATTGATACAATCGCTCATCGTAGGATTGAGCTGCAAGGAAGTATTCCACACCGCATTCAACGTTTGCTTGTTCAAATGATTCACGGTCTTCATTGGACTTAAAGAAGAAATTATCAAGCATCTGCGATTCATCCAGTTCATTAAATTGATATTGCAAAAGGTACGTGTATCCGTCGTTGCCAAAGTCAGGTGTGCCATCATCACTGTGCTTGTAGTTGATGGAATCCCCAACTGCGTGCATCTTCGACTTGATCCAATTACTTGGTGACAACACGCGCGAATCTCCCAACCTGGGTTCATCGTATTTATCAACAGATTTGATGTGCTGAATGCAATGCTCACCATAAATTTCTTCAATAGACTTGGTCATCGTTGGTTCAGCAACTGCAGGCACAACAGCTACAGATTCAGCAGCTACTAGTTCAGCAATCACTGGTTCAGCAACTATTAGTTTAGCAATCACTGGTTCAGCAACTACTGGCTGATACTTCGCGTGGTGTCGGCACCAATCGCCTTTTGAGCCGCACTGTTGGCTCGCCTTTGCGTGGTCTTCTGGGAAGATGTACTTGCACATTGTTATTTCTATATATTTATTTTTTATCGCTCAAGATGAACTCACTATTATTTAGTTTCTATATATTGAGGAGTATTTTTGTCAGAAATAAAAATATTATTTTAAAGTGATGTGATTGGCTAAAACGGTGCGGTGTGCTGCGTGAATGAGTGCTGCTGCTCAGTCGAGAACTTTCCGCACGAAGATGGCAGAGGTCGAGTTGGAGTGCGCGGTATACGGCGAAGGGACTGTGTTTCCCGTGAAGATAGCGAGCAATGCGAAAGTGAGCGCGCTGCAGAAGGCCATTGTGAACGAGAAGAAAGACGTCAATGATCGCTTCAAAGTTGATCCAGCCAGGTTGACGCTCTACTTGGCGCGGAAGAAGGGGGAAGCCACGTGGATGAAGCACGACCACACGGTGAAAGGCTTCTTGTGAGGTGGCATCAGCACCGAGTATGAAGAGATGCTTTCGTCGTGGATTCTCGACGAAAATTGCGGTCGCGGTGATCATGTCAACACCATATTCATTCGAAGCTTTGCCCGCAACCGCAGAATTGGCATTACCAGTGGCGTGGAAAGTGACCGCGACTAGCACTGCAAGGATGCATGTGAGACGCATTTTTTGTCGTTTGGGTCAACAGCTAGGGCACTTGAGTCGAAATGAGAGAGTGCGAGCAGATTGCAGAATGAGGTGTCGGACGAAGACAGAGCCGTACTACGTGCTGGAGCACGAGGAAGTTCCACTTTGTACTGTTTTCTTTCAGTCTGTACAAATAACGCTGGGATATAGCTACCGATCCAGTACATATTTCCAGACAGTTATTGAACAAAAAACCAGTACACTTAAGTTTGCAGCTAATAATGGTTTTTGTAGTCCTATTCACTTATAAAAACTAATGTCTAGTCACTATTAGAAAATTGTGTTTAATACACAAGAAGAGCAATTCAATTCGCAATTCAAAAGTGCGACAGCAGACCTCCTCCAGTCATCTTCTCCGAGCTGCTTTCTTAAAATGGATGGCCACCGCAGCATTCTTGCAGCGACATCAGTGGCATCACTTTTCTCATGCGTAGTACTACTATAGTAGCACTGAGCTACCACATTGATTTAAATCAAAGTCACGATTGGGCTTGTTCTCGATCACTAGATACTTCTCCGCCCAATATTCAAGCTCATCGTTCTCAAATGACGTATCAACCATGGCTGAACGCATGTCATTAATTGTTCGACCAGTTAACTCCACCAGCTGAGTTAGTGTTGCCAACTTCCGCTCAGACTTGAATGTCAATTCGAAATCTTGATCAAGTGTAGAAAGCTCAAACTTCTTCGAAGTAGCTGTTTTCCCTGGCTCCTTGACTTCATAGTCATCCTTCTATTGCTTGTATGCAGCAGAATCACAACCAGCAGCAATCCCTTCAGTTTGCCTTCGTTCAGTGATGGATTATACTTGGAATCAAACCAACCATCAAATTCTTTGGTAGCATACTCCTTGTTGAAACGCTCTACTTTTTTGTTTGAGCACACAGAGATAGGTCTTGCGCACTAAATGCCAATCCGAATGAACTTGACAAGCAAAGAATCCAGCGAGATTCCACACGTTTTGGTTGTTGGAGAACAAATCGCCTCGAATCATCATGCACAATTGATACAAATGCTCATCGTAGGATTGAGCTGCAAGGAAGTATTCCACACCGCATTCAACGTTTGCTTGTTCAAATGATTCACGGTCTTCATTGGACTTAAAGAAGAAATTATCAAGCATCTGCGATTCATCCAGTTCATTAAATTGATATTGCAAAAGGTACGTGTATCCGTCGTTGCCAAAGTCAGGTGTGCCATCATCACTGTGCTTGTAGTTGATGGAATCCCCAACTGCGTGCATCTTCGACTTGATCCAATTACTTGGTGACAACACGCGCGAATCTCCCAACTTGGGTTCATCGTATTTATCAACAGATTTGATGTGCTGAATGCAATGCTCACCATAAATTTCTTCAATAGACTTGGTCATCGTTGGTTCAGCAACTGCAGGCACAACAACTACAGGTTCAGCAGCTACTAGTTCAGCAATCACTGGTTCAGCAACTACTAGTTTAGCAATCACTGATTCAGCAACTACTGGCTGATACTTCGCGTGGTGTCGGCACCAATCGCCTTTTGAGCCGCACTGTTGGCTCGCCTTTGCATGGTCTTCTGGGAAGATGTACTTGCACATTGTTATTTGTATATATTTATTTTTTATCGCTCAAGATGAGCTCACTATTATTTAGTTTCTATATATTGAGGAATATTTTTGTCAGAAATAAAAACAATTATTTTAAAGTGATGTGATTGGCAAAACTGTGCGGTGTGCTGCGTGAATGAGTGCTGCTGCTCAGTCGAGAACTTTCCGCACGAAGATGGCAGAGGTCGAGTTGGAGTGCGCGGTATACGGCGAAGGGACTGTGTTTCCCGTGAAGATAGCGAGCAATGCGAAAGTGAGCGCGCTGCAGAAGGCCATTGTGAACGAGAAGAAAGACGTCAATGATCGCTTCAAAGTTGATCCAGCCAGGTTGACGCTCTACTTGGCGCGGAAGAAGGGGGAAGCCACGTGGATGAAGCACGACCACACGGTGAAAGGCTTCTTGTGAGGTGGCATCAGCACCAAGTATGAAGAGATGCTTTCGTCGTGGATTCTCGACGAAAATTGCGGTCGTGGTGATCATGTCAACACCATATTCATTCGAAGCTTTGCCCGCAACCGCAGAATTGGCATTACCAGTGGCGTGGAAAGTGACCGCGACTAGCACTGCAAGGATGCATGTGAGGCGCATTTTTTTGTCGTTTGAGTCAACAGCTAGGGCACTTGAGTCGAAATGAGAGAGTGCGAGCAGATTGCAGAATGAGGTGTCGGACGAAGACAGAGCCGTACTACGTGCTGGAGCACGAGGAAGTTCCACTTTGTACTGTTTTCTTCCAGTCTGTACAAATAACGCTGGGATATAGCTACCGATCCAGTACATATTTCCAGACAGTTATTGAACAAAAAACCAGTACACTTAAGCTCGCAGCTAATAATGGTTTTTGTAGTCCTATTCACTTATAAAAACTAATGTCTAGTCACTATTAGAAAATTGTGTTTAATACACAAGAAGAGCAATTCAATTCGCAATTCAAAAGTGCGACAGCAGACCTCCTCCAGTCATCCTCTCCGAGTTGCTTTCTTAAAATGGATGGCCACCGCAGCATTCTTGCAGCGACATCA